AGGCTAGGGACACCATTCCTGCCCATCCTGGCTAATAGCCATTGATGGACCTATCCTCCATGAATTTATCTAGTTCTTTTTTGAACCCTGTTATGGTCTTGGCCTTCACAACATCCTCTGGCAAGGAGTTCCACAAGTTGACTTTGCGCTGTGTGAAGAAATACTTCCTTTTATTTGTTTTAAACCTGCTGCCTATTAATTTCATTTGGTGACCCCTACTTCTTGTGTTATGAGAAATAGTAAACAACACTTCATTATCTATTTTCTCTACACCAGTTATGATTGTATAGATCGTCCCACTCTTGGAGTCACTCGTCTGGGGTGTGGACTGAGAGCTTAATATTTGCTCTATTATTTTAGTAAGGCTTGAAGTTAGCTGTATTGCTAGATGGGAATTGCCAGGATCACACCACCTGTTTTTGAAGGCTTGATACCTCAATTGTTTTTCTTCCACATTCTGTGGTAGTTCCTTGGTTCTTTATTACACTCTTCTGCTCTACATAGGCTTTTATATCATATCCATCACTGGAGTATCTGAGCACCTTCCAGGAGTGCGACTTGACTACACAGCTGTCACATAGTGTTTGCTCTTGCATCCTCTCCCCTGAAGGAGAAGCATGTGGTAGGTTTTTGTGTGTGTGTGTTAAATTATACCTGCTGCTCTGTTCTTTGGCCTATTAGAAAAGCAAGGCCAAAGAAATGTGGCTTGCACTTGAAGCAGAAAGTGGTGAGATTTGGATGCTCTGTGCAGCAAAATAGGTAGCCATATGAGGGAGCAGAGCAAGCGAGGATCAGGCATGGTGTTGATCATGGCAGGGAGCAGAAGATCAGTTGCTGCAGCCACACTCCTAGGCTTGGGGATGAGGAGAAGAGATCAGGGCAGGGGAAGAAGGAAGATGATTCCTTGGGCCCCCCTGATGCCTGGAGTGGGGAGAGCAGAAATGGAGTGGGGAATGAGGACCAGAAAACAATTCCAGACTAGCTTCCCTCTGTTCTAAACACTTGGTTATTCCTCTCTTCTCTGGACACTCTCAGGAACTCCCATCTATGTGCTCCTGGTCACAGCCCAGCGAAGTCTGCCAAGCCACACATGGATTAGTTCTGCCCATGTTAGCAATGACTCTCAAGGCTCCCTCCGCTTGCTGTGGAGTGTCCAGACATAGCATGTGGTGCTCATGGGCATGCTCTGCTCTAGAGTCCTCCTCGCAGCTCAGTCCCCTCCAATGTCACAGCCTCAATCTCCGCCTTCTTGGGTAGGTTGAGGATAGCTCGGTGAAACACCCTGTCTCAGCCCGGTCAAATGCTTCCATTCAGACTGACCTGTCTTTCTGTGTGGGTCAGTGTCCTGGGGGGCTCTCAAGGGCCTGAAGGTGCTGGGAGGGCTTTGGGCTGCATCCTGTGCGTTGGATCCATGCCCTTTGTGGGTGGAGAAGGCCAGTGGGAAGTGCCCAGTCCTGTGCTGAGAGAGGTTGTCAGTGCCTCCCTGCAGGGGGCAGGACGCCAGCCTTGGCCTGTGCTCAGGAAGTCACTGCTTGACACTGACAATCTGGTTCATTTTTGTCCAGGGTCTGATCTTCCCTTTATGGTCAAAGTCCCCTGGACAAGCCTGTAGAGTGACACCCTCACAGCACCTAGATCGCCTCAGGTCTCTGTGGCCCATGACAAACTGGGTACCAGCTTTGGTCTGATATGGAGACGGAGCTAGCTGCACTGGTTGACAATCTCCACCCAGTGATAGATGAAGATCAAGTCATCTGGGCTGGCGCTGTTAGTTCCACCAGCTGCATTTCTCACAGTCAGTCTTGAGGTGTTGGCATGCCTGCAGGTGTTGTGCTGGTAGGGAGATGACCACAGCACATTGTTCTCCTTCCCAAAAAGCACTTTCAGGGGGAGCTGTGCAGGGCTACGGCTTGGTGTGGAAAAAGTCACATCCCAAGAGATGATGCATGTCCAGGCACAGGCGCACGGTTTCCTACATGCACGAAATATGGACATTTTGCAGCTGTTCGCTGCACCAAAACAGTCAGGGAGTTGACTCATATGACAGACCATCAAGGGGCATTGTTTCTGGGAATCTATCCCTTGTGACGACACAGAGCCTGCCTGGAAAGTGAAACGGAATATTCACGGCAAAACTATTGACTTTAAAATTGACTCAGGAGCTGATGTTACAGTCCTCTCAGAAGGGACTTACCATCACCTTCAACCCCTCCCAGAGCTGAAGTCACCTGACACAGCTCTGACTAGCCCTGGAGGTATTCTGAACTGCATGGACCAGTTCACCACAGAAACAACTTACAAAGACAAAAGCTTTGTGATCAAAGTACCACAGACCAATAGCCTTCTCAGCCACAGCATGGCAGCCATGATGAGCCTAGTGGGAAAGGTGGAAGAACTCAGAGGATTTGATGTTATTGGACTTTTGAAAGGAGATCCATTTAAGTAATTCTGAATGAAATATAATTTGGTCATATTACTAGTAGCTCAAGTTTCCCACAAACAAATGGAGAGGCTGAGAGAGCTGTACAGACAGCCAAGAAAATCCTATAGCAGGAAGATCCATTCCTTGCTCTTCTGAGTTACAGTTCAACACCAACAGTGGCTACTGGACAGCTCAGATTCTATCTCCAAAGTGCTCAGACATGCAGAGAGTAGCCAAATCAGATATAAAGTCTATAAGAGCTTTTACAACAGAAGTCATTCAGGGAACTGTTGGGTCTAGAACCTGGTGACTGTGTTAATGTCAAATTGGATGAAGAAATGGGATTGACAACTGCAGTTCTCATGAAGAAAAAATTCAGTGCCCAGATCATATGTGATCAAGACTGACAGTAGAGAGTTCAACAGAAACCATCAATACCTACAGTTTGTTCCTCCGAAAGAACAATCAACAGAGCAATCTTTACAGATGGCAGGGGCAGAACAAGAAGACGACTCAAGGATTCCAAACCGACAATAGTCGGCAACTACTGGACAGCCAGATGACCAAGGTGTTATGTGTTTGGGTGATGCAGTTAGAAAATCAGTATGATTCAGAGACACTTAACAGACTGGTCCATACTGAACTTCAAAGTTGGCAGGATAGCGTAAATATTGTAAATGGGAGGCAAATAGAACTTAAAGGGGGAGATGTAATGGATGTATTGTACTGTTCAGCCACTTGCGGCATGGTGTGTAAAATACCTTTATTTAAATGAACCTCAGCCATACCAGGAGAGCATTAAAGGATCCTATGATGAACACAGCTGGTGTGTATAAGCAAGTGCTGTCACCAGTCCATAGCTGGCATAGAAGATCTTGACCCAGCACTCCGCCTAACTGCCAACCATCAAGTTGGCGGATTTGATATTCAGGACATGGATTCAATGGGAATTAGGATGAGACCATCACACTCATATGATCTAAGCCAAATCTGAATACAAGTCCCCTAGGCAGGAAAGCATAGTAGCAAATTGTGTATTACAATCACATTTGAAGCCATGTTGCTTTTGTCTCCCTTTGCTGTATACTCTTTACCTTTCTTCCCCCCTGCCCCACCTCTGCACTGTTGTGCTTTAGAAAGCAAATAACTCTATGCAGTGCTACTTCTGGGTTGACTTTGATTTCATCCCCAGACCAGCGCCTCTTCCACAGTCATGCACAAGCCTGCCACGGATTGTGATGATTCAGCATAAGCCCTTTGCGGCATAGTGAAGGCTGAGTGCCACATCACATCCAAAATTCAACTCAGGCTATTTGTCAGTGGGCTAAAGCAACTATCTTAAGAATAATACTCTCCTGTTAGAGAGAGTTTGGGCCTCTCTCTTAGCTGGAACTGCCAGGGAAAATTGGGAAGTTTCATTCCTGTCAAACTTTCTTTTTAAATAAAAAGAATCTGTTCAATAAATATATAAATAAAAACAGACAGGTGCGGTCCAAAATCGGATTCAGGATTCCATGGAGGCTGGCAGCCTGGCAAGGACCATGTTTGACCAGTTATACATTCCAAGTGTTGTCTTCTCTTGTTTACCCTGAGTTTGTTTCTGGCATCCAAGGAACGGGCTCTCCTTGTGTGGCCTCCCCCATCCCTTCTGGCTCCCTCTCTCCAAACATAGCTCGCACCCAAATGGGTCTGAAATTGAATGACAAACTTGCTTCTGTTTAAACCAACCTCCCCACCCCCCCCAAAAAAAGCTAGTGGTGGGGCGATTTGAAACAATGAAATTAGAACAGTTTGAGAAAAGGCACCATCTCCCCTCTCCTCAATATTCTTGAAGCTAAGACAACAAATAACTGTTAGAATGTGTAGGATCTGGTGACCACAGGGACAGTGCAATGAAACATCCAGTGTCCTTGGACAGCATTAAACGATAAATAAGTGACACTCAGCTTCTTGCCAGGTCGCTGTTTCACTGGCAACTTTGGGAGACGAGTGGGGAGTTAGTTGTTTAAATAAAAAGAAAGAAACCAACTCTCATTTGCAGTGTTGGGCCAGATATTATACTCCATCCATTCCAGGCCATCTATGCTGGTCTATTTTCAGAGGATAAAAAATTTTCTCAACAGAGTCTAAGGCTTCACCAGGGACAAAACCCTTCCCCGGCACTGAGAGTTTGTTTTCACTCCTGCGACTGAGACGTTCTAGGAATAATCTCATTTTTCAAACCATCCAGGTGGTGCCTGCCAGTAGTGTGTGTGTGTGTGCGTGTGTGTGTGTGTGTGTGTGTGTGTGTGTGTGTGTGTGTGTACGTAC